CCAGCTCCTTGAGTACCCTGGGGTGAAGATTGTTAGGGCCGGCTGACTTGAAGGTATCCAGCTTCTCAAGATGTTCCTTCAGAAAGTCAGCATTAATGGAGAGCAGGGGATCACCCTGACCCGGACTTCCCGGCCCTGTAGCGGGCATGGGCGTCCCATGGGACTGATGAAAGACCGACGCAAAGTACCTATTTAATAGGTTGGCTTTTTCCTGGGCGTCAGTTGTCAGTTGCCCCATCTGGTTCAGCGGGGGTCCAATGTTGCCCCTGCTTTTCCTCCGGCTCCCCACATATCTGAAAAAGGACTTTTTATTGTCCTTGATGCTTAAAGCTAGCTGGAGTTCAGTTGCAGCCTTGGCTTTCCTGGTATGCTCCCTACAGGACCGGACCAGTGCAGAATAATCCTCCTTGGAGGTGACTCCCATCCTCCATCCTTTGTAGGCCTTTCTGTTTAGCCTCAGGAGGTCTGCTAGGTCCCTGGAGAGCCTAGCAGACCTAGCAAATGATGGAAGCACCTGCTACATTTCTAGTTGTGGACAAAGCATGAGTATTGGACAGTACGGGGCACATGGGAAGAGGAAGTGGAAACTGGTCGACTGCTTTTACCTTAAAACATGTCCCTCCTATCCCCTGCCATCCATCCCTAGAGAGCTTCTGTTCCCAGGTCCTTTTACCTTAATTTTTTCTCTTTCATATACCAGCCTCTCTTCCTTTCATATGAGCAATGGAGGATATAGCCCTGCTTTTCAACCAGGGATGTCAAACTAATTTGGCACCACAGCCCAGATAAATGGTGCAGGATCAGGAAAAAAGGGCACAGGGCTGGCCACACCAGCTGAACTGGGCCCAAGGTCCCCCCTGTTCTACCCCCCACCCCCCCATGCTAGATCCAGTGCATGCAGCAGCTACTCCAGCCAGCCTGGGACCCAGCAGGAAAAGGCCCAGCATCCTGAGAGCTTAACTGCTTCTGCAAGAACAAACCACAGTGCTAGGTTTCTTTCCATGATGCTACTGGGGTCCCAGCACCACTGCTTTTGCCCACGTGCTTGGCAGCCAAACGAGTGAGAGCAGTGGTGCTGGAGTCACAGCAGCACTGTGGCTTCTTTCCATAGCTGTAGCCCAAGTGCCCAAGAGGGAGATGCAGCACTGGAGCTGCCACAGCACCAGAGCCACTGTAGCACCATGGGGAAAAAGCCAAACACAGTGGACACTTGGCTGCCACCCTGGAAACAAGCTGCAGCACTGCTGAGGCTCCAGCACTGTGGGTCTCACCCAGGTGCTTGGCTGCAGTCATGGGAGGGTACCCCATCCAAGCCAGAGTGGGACAAAAGTCTGTGGACAAAATGACCAGGCTCTGTAGGCCAAATCTGGTCTATGGCCCTTACATTTAATCAGCTTTAAGCTGTTGCATGTGTCCCTGGTTGAGTACCAGGAGTTATGCCAAAGTGTGGCGTGAAGGAACAGTAGAATTCCAGTCTCCATACCAGTCCTTTTAGATCCCTCTCCAAACAAAACCATAATGCCCCTCTTCCCCATCCTTACTGACCCCTGTTAAACCCTCTAGCCACTGATTTTCAACCCTGTGCCAGGCTATAGCAACTGCCCCACCTTCCTGCCCCGCACCCCACACACACAATCTCTCACATCACACAAGCTCCTAGACCTGCTTTCTGGCTCTGGCAATCTAATACAACTTCACAACCTAGAAGTCACAACACCACCCCACCACCCCATAATAGATCTAAGTTTTCCCTTTCCCCTCTCCTGAGCAGACAAGCAAACCCAAACTCTCTTCCCTCCTCACACATTGCCAAATTCTCCATAAACCAAAGATCATGATGTTGAAAGTTCAAGCTGCCATTGTAAAGAAGGGTACCAAGGGAACTGCAGGGCTGGGCTCTAGAGACAAAGAAAGAGATGCAGGAAAGTGTCTGAAAATTTGGAATCACGTTTGCCATCTTTACTGGGGATATCACTGAAATGGGTGGGACATGGGAGGGACATGAGCACATGTGGGACATGAGTGCATGGAAAGGAGAATCCCTGGGGGCAATAAAACAGGGATTAGGGCTTACTTTGTGGGGTGAAGTTGGCTCAGTGTCAATGGGAAATCTCTGTTTCCTGACAGGAAAGGAAGTAGTGATGGGAGTGCAGCACTGAGCACCTAAATAGGAAACATTTTTACTCCATCCTCAATAGACTGATTTTTCAGAATGGTTTCCCAATTCCTAGCTGGGAAGGAAAGTCCATCTGAAAATTTTGCAAACAAAACCTCTCCCCTGAAAATAAGTTGGGGTGGAGTCACCGAAGCTTGGTACAAAGTGTTCCACTTCTATTTCCATTTAATTTTAACCATTTCAAATATCAAATGATCTTGCTTTTATTCCAAGCCAAAATTAACCCTTTATTTTAAACAATTTCACTTGTGACGTGTTAACTTTTTTCAGTAAAT